CAGCTATAAAAAAGTTATGCCCATACACCTGCCCCACCTCAATTACAGAATCCCAACCCAAAACAAGACCACCTCTAGACCCATTAGCCTCCACCACAAAAAGGTTGTTGCCAAACCCCAACTTATTACACACTTGAGTTACATAAAATTTGGATTTTTTAACTTCAGAAAGGAAAAGAAAATTTGGATGGTAGAGTCTCAATGCCTCCTTGATCTGGGGAACTGTAGAGGGCCCACCCAGACCTCTACAGTTCCACACCGGAGCCCTCATTTACACCCTGAGGGCCTATATAGGCTGGCCTTCTATACCTTAGACACAGTCAGTTTAAGCTTCTTCTCTTCTATATGTTCTCGACAGTCCTCATCCACCCCAGTTGATAAGCCCTGCTCAGTCTCCCTCTGCCTCTTAGTCACAACCCAGAATGCTCTGCCTAATTAGCATCACAATTGCTTATCAGTCTGCCTTCCTTTTTCACATTCCTCCTCCATTTCTTCTAGACTAGGTTTGGTAATACAACTTCAAACATTTGAGGTTGGCCCTGAGGACTGCTAATAGTTAAGTCCTTACCAACTTGATCAAGAGCACTTATATCTCTGAGTTATGTTCTCCCATAATGGTAGAGTTCTCTTTTTGAGCAATGGCTTAAAAAACCACCATCTCCTTACTGGCACCCCTGTGATTGTCCCCTTTTTCCTTCCTGAAAGAAGTACTAGCCCCCTTCCTCCCAATCTGATCTGGTGGCACAGAGCTTACCTCCACTCCAGGTAAAAATGCCTCACCTCCTGTTGTTTCCCCTTCCTGAGTTTGCTGAGCTACATGAGAAAACTCTGGTGCTCTTGTGTGCTCAGATGAAGATTCACTATTTCTCCACCTCTGTCCTTGCAACCCATCAGTAGCCCTCATCCATTCACCAAATTGTCCTTCTCGCAGCACATGGCTTTCCACATCATTCACTCTCTGCATACAACCTTTCTCAATATGGCAAATTTTGCCGTAGTAGAAACACAAATTGACCAGCCTCTCATACTTGAAGGTAACCGTGACTACTTGATCCCCTAACCGGATTGATGCAAAACGAGGTAAGGATTCTGCTACATCCACCCATGTGTACCTAGATTACACACTAAGACGTTAGACACAACCTTGAAAACTTGTCCGATCTTTAAGCCCACGTCTGAGGTCAACCAATCCAAAGGAACATCATGGACTTGAACCCAACATTTTAGTTCATTGAAACATTCATCTTTGCTGCATAGCCCCTGTTTCCATCCTTTGATAATTAGGTACTAATTATAAAAAATCCAGTTAATGCCCCCTGCGACCCTCTTCATGTCCTCCACATCTTCAAAGATAAATTGGAAAAAGTTCATGTCCAATTCCCTAACCTCCATGGACGCTTAGGTTTCCAGATGAGCGTCAATTTTCTCTTCACCCCTAACAGATGAGCCTTCTTATCTCATATGACCTTCTCGAATAGACTATTGTGGCATTCCTCAATACTAGCCTTCACATCCTGAGATACAATATCAATAATTTTATTCTCCATTTAAGATTCTTAGCAGGATGCTTATCCTCTTGTGGCAATCCTAGTCACTCTCATAAAAGTTTTCCATTTAAGATTCTTAGTAGGATCCATTTCATTCATCACACCCACAAGGACCTCAATCAACTTATCCTCCTCTCATCTCATGGTTTTACCGTTGTCCAGTTCCATAGAAGCTAGAACCAGGACCTCATCCACTCTATCATTATTAGAAATCTCAGTTTGTTTCCCCTTCTCTTTGTTCCTATCCAACTGATCCACACTCTTAGATTCCTATCAACCTGTACTGATATATCTAATTTGTTATATGTTCACTGGGTTGAAAAATTAGAAAATTTTTGTATGCGGAGGGGTTGAACATGTCGAATCTCATTGCCTTTGCTTTTTTTTTTTTTTTTGTATTATTATCAACAGGTCCCCAATCTAAGATGTTAACAATTATAGTTTATCACTAGGTGAATTTTTGAATTTAGGCAATAAGTACTATTTGGCAGGTGAAGTTACATATATTGACTCTTGCCATCCTAATTAAATTTCTTTAATTGAGATTATGACTAGGTTAGAAGAGTTTGGTGTGAATGAAATGAAACAAGTTCACTGCACACAAGAAGATGTGAGTGACTGCAGTAATTTTCTTGACTTGAATGATGATAGTGATGTACTCAAAATGGGGCAAATGGTGAATGATAGTAGATTAGTGGGTTTATATATGGCACATGAATCTACAAAGAACAATCGTGAACTTTCTCAAACTTATAACCCAACCTCTTCTTTTCCTCATATTAATAAACCTTTGAATTATGTTGATGAAGGCATGGCACCAAATGACTTTAGGAATTCTGGGAATGATCTTGTTAATGATTGGATTGATGAATATATAAACAATAACTTTGCACGTCAAAGTAGTTTGGTACTCTTTTTCATGTCCAAAGTTACGTCAATTAGGAGACTATATATTGGTATATTATATATATATATACACACACACACATACACACACACACACACTTTCAAATGAGAACCAAGTCTTAGTGTGAGAACCGTGAGAACTGCTATTTTTAATTGTATATAGTGCTATGCTTACTTGTGTTTTGGTGCTATTTTTAACTATGATGTATTTTATTAAAAATAGCAAGAAATTTTTTATTAGCATTTGTGAAAATGATAGCACCATGCAATATTAAAAATAGTATCATACACAATTAAAAATAGCAACAAATATGGTTCTCACGGTTCTCACACCAGACTTAGTTTTTATTTGAACCAATCCCTATATATATATATATAT